CATAAAAAAACCCTGAAAATAGCCCATAGGAGGCAATTTTAACTCAGCAAACTGATACAAAACTATGGCCATTGAATTCTGACATTAGTGTTTTATTTAGGTATTGAATTGATTAAGCAGAATTAGGCATGGTCTATATAAAATGCAAGAACGAGTGACTTGACAGAGCTTGTAAGTACTTTCAGAAGGAAAAAAGTGCCTGGCAAAAAGATGTCTTAAATCTAGAAAAGAACAAGAAACAAGACTGGAGAACTGAAAACACAGAGAGGTATTCAAATGTGAAAACAAAGTCAAAAAACTCAGTGATATTTACTAAGAAATTATTTCAGTAGGAAGATTGGTTCTGTTTCCTTCAACCAAAGAATGATGCTTTGATAAAAGATATATTTTGGGCAAACAGTTTCCACACAGCAATATGAAATGCTCTATTAAACTTMACATTTTATGATACAGAATATCAGATCAAGTACTCTAAATCTACACAAAAATCTACACACAAAAACTACAATCCAGGAAATAGCGGCCTTTTTCTCATATTAACAAAAAGGTGATACTGTTGAGTATCATCTGCTTTTAATCTGGAAGGCCCATAAAGAACCTTCACCTATAACTTAAATACTTAGATCTTAAACTTAAGATCATAACTTAAAACATGTGCATTTTTGCTCCAACTTTAACTCTGAAATCAAAATCCTCTTATCCACAATGTAAGTGACACTGGAGATCTTATGCATTAATATTACAGAAGAAACACATGTATGATTTTACTGTTATTTTTCTTATTGTGGCTTCTCTACTATTTTTACATCTCTCTTGAAAATAACAGGACAGTTTGACAGGATTTGTACTTATCTATCATTTGGTAAAAGCCTTTGTAATTAACTTTCAATCAACTTAATTTTCTGTCTTAACACAAACTTCATGGACCTGATCTGCTATTTACTGCAGTGCAGAAAATCATAAAATAGAACAACATGATGTAAGATCAGTCAGTTTAAAAGAATCTATGTAAAAATTTTTAAAAAAAGTAGCTTACCAAGTCTGCTACTCTGCACAAGCTATCTGAAAGCTGATCAAAGATCATTACAGTCTCTGGCCCGGGTGGTGCTGAACATGCCTTCTGGACAAGCTGYTCTGATTCTTGCAATGCTTTGTCCTGTGCTTCTTGAAATCCTTCTGGACAGCTCAGTTCTGGAACACCAAACAGACCCTGCAGTGYAGAGCACAATGAAAACACATCACTTCTACTCTCCTTGATTTCTGCACTTTTATTTCAAGACTGAATTATCACTACAGAATTTTACCAAAATGACCCCAGCTAGCATACTGTAGCACTTCACTGGCCAGCAGCATCAGATATTCAGGGATTGCAGGCAATAGTACAGCTGTCTCACTAAATGAGCCCCAAATACTGGAAGCAGACCTCAAAAGAATAATCAGCATCAACTGAAAATGTTTATGGAATTAAGCTTTTTTCCTGACATTCCTATTAAGCCTGGCCCTGTCCCATAGGGCAGGGTAAACATGTATTTATGCAGGGTACACTCAGTGGGCATTTGTGGAAGAGAGAGAGGTTCTACCACTAATCAAACAAAATTACTAATGCTAGCTGATAGAGAAGTTCCACAACGCAGACCTACAACAGTAAAAAGATTTCAAAGAATCACAGAATTGCCTGAGTTGAAGTGATGCCTAAAGATTTTTGGGTTTTATGTATTCTTCATGTATTTGTAGCTTTGCTGACTGCTAATAACGCATAGTTACAACTTCTAGTACTTTTCCAGCTCTCTTTCTCACAGTTAACAAACTCTTATTGATGCATTCTTGAAATTCTGTCTCATGTTGCCTGTTAGTTTAGCAAGGACACTTTATTTTGTACCATGTATCATAGACATAACAAAATGCAGAATTAGAAGGTCAGGGGCGGGGCTCCAATGGGGCAGAACCCGGGAGGGAAATYAMCTAACCAACTGCTCYTAATTAGACAGTATTTGATGRGTATACTAATCAACTAGCCTTATAAAAACTATAGAACTACTGTATTACATGTGCATATCGCCATGTTGTGAACCCTGAAAGCTTTCAATTAAACATTTGCTTTTATATTATCATTTTAGCACTGTTWGGAAAAGTTCTGTGTTTCATTMCAGGAGACAGAAGGGAYYYACAAGGAYTACYTGAAGTCCAAYTCYTGGCCCTGCACAACACCCTTCCCAAGAGTCACAYCRTGTGCCTGAGACCATTGTCCAAACACTTCCTGAAACCTGTCAGGCTGGTGCTSTGACCACTTCCCTGAGGAGCCTGTTACAGTGCCCACCCACCCTCTGRGTGAAAAAYCKTTTCCTAATTCCTTAATTTCATTTAGGTTAAAATAGCATCTCTTCAAGCAATACATTCCCTTTGCAACTGCCCAAATACAGCATGAGCATCTCCTTACCTTGTAACTGCAGCATTCAACAGTGAAAGGTGTTTCATACATTTATACATGATTTCATACATTTATCCCTTCCCAAATTCCACCTCAGTATCTATTCCCTAGACCAGCCAAATGGACAATATTTAACTGGATCATTTTCTGAAGCAAGACATAGACCAGTGCACTTGCAGAGGCAGAACTGGAAGAAAGGTTTCCCAAACAAGTGCCAGATTATAAACAGGGGTCAGATTGGTCCTCACTGAATCCCTAAGTTCAACAGCTCCACCAGGCTGGGCACTATGGCAGGAATAGCTGAGTCAGCAGGCAAAGACCTGGATTTACAACTGCACCTATTCCGTATGCACTGTACCAGCTTACCTTCTCCAAGAGCCTGTTGACTCCCTGGACACACATTAACAAACGTCCCTGACTCACACTAAAAAGGTACGCATCGGAAAACCCAAGCGTCACCAAATCAGCAAACACGTCCTTTTTTGCCACAGGCAAAATGTCAATAAYGTCCAGGCAAGAGGATGTGAGCAGTGGCTGCTCCTGAAGCGCTGCCGAAGTGCAGTGGTACGGCACTGACACACGAACGACGGCACAGCCGGGAGGGCAGGCAGGGGAAGGGGCARTGGAAGGGGCAATCTCTCTTTATGGATATATGGGCACCACTGCGGCTCAAAGCGCTTCCATGCACGTGTCAAATGCTTCTGCGTCCAAAAGTCAGAATGTTTGGGTTTGCTAGAACCAATATAAACTCTATAAAAAAAAATATTCCCAAATTTAAAAAAAAAAAATCCCTAGAGAAGATTCAGACAAGCAGAGCAAAGCATGAGCCTGCGAGCAGCCAGGGCCGCCTCCTACCGCAGCAGGCCCGGCCCCCCGTCCCGCCGCTCACCGTGTCCCTGCCCGCCGCGCCGCCGCGCAGCTGCTGCTGCTGCTGGTGCTTCACATCGAAGGCGGTGCCCACGGGGCACCAGCTGGTGCTGACRGCCCGGCCGCCCGACCCCGCCGCCCGGCCCCGCAGCGCCCGGCCCAGTGCMGCGGGCAGCGCCCGCCGGCATCCGCCCAGCATGGCGGAGCGGAGCGCAACGCGGGCAGCGCACCGGGCCCGGCACCGCCACCGCCGCGGCCTCACAACGCCCCGCTCGGCCGCGACCTCCGCGCGTCCGCGCCGAGGGGAGGAGCGGCACCTGGAGGCGGAGCGAGGCGGAGCTCCCCGCTCCCACCGCCTCCAGCCTGCAGCTCCCCCTTTCCATCGCTTCCTCCTCCAGCCGGCCGCGGTTTGTGCCGGGCTCCCCAGCTCCCGAGCTGGGCCGCACCGGGGCCCCTGCCGGCTGACACCCGTCCTACACGTTCTCCAGTTAAACCTAAGGCCATTTTAAAACGGTTTGTTGGGCTAGATGTTTCTGTGATACAAACTTASGGCGTGTGGCTTACGGGAAAGAACWTCCTCTTGCTGAAAAATTGACGTAACCCTTTCCTCCGCCTCAGTGCCCTTGTGTCTCYCTCGCTGTCATTTGAGAAGTGCAGCTCGTGAATAAACCCACTGCACCCTTTTCGTTCGGGCTCTGTGGTCCACACTCGCTGTTCAGGTGCCGTAGGAATATGTCCACGTTTCCCTGGAGCCCTGAAGTGCTGATGAGAAGCCAGGCCTTACGCTCCCAATGCTGCCTTTGCACTGAGTTTCATGATGCTGACCCATCTCCACTGCCATCTCTGCCTTATTCTAATGGAAGCGAATGAGACCTCCCAGCATTTTTTTTTTTTTTTTAATTTTTGAGTTTTAAGATTGGGGGGGCGAAAAATAAAAATCTGGGGAAAACCACCAGAAATTAATATTTTTATGGCACAGGAAATATCTCTAGATATCTCTGTCCGTGGCATGGCTGCTTCAATGTTGATTAAATATTATCTTTCGTCTGGGAGGCTTTGTTTTGCACCAAGTAATTCCAAAGTCCAGCATCTTTGTGCTGTATTTCTGGCCTTGAATATCTGCCCACATCAGAGAATCCACATGGCACTTCCTCCTATCACTCCATTTTGCTCCATTTCAGACCTGTTACTACACAGAGWGCAACGAACAGTATTTAAAAGCTGTAAAACCCACCCAGCTACAATGAAACTTTCTTGCACCTGTAGAGGTATCAAACAGTAATTTCAAGTTTAAAAATTATTTTAMAGTGGTTGGATGCAAGCTAACCAAATTTCAAGTCCATCTACAMATGCCACATTGGAAGATATAAACTCTCTTGGAAGTAACTGTTGCTTCTTGTTTTTATAATACKTCAGGAACCCACACAATTCCACAACTTCTGTCTTTTATTTCATCCCACTTTCTTTTAAAACGTTTTTCTTCACAGCTGGGGTACACAGCCCTGTGAATGCCTRCAGTCAGTCACCAAACCACTAATGTGTTAAGCCCAGCACTGTAGATTCTGAAGAGCTGTCCACTCTTGTGCAGAAAGCTGTTCCTGAACTATTTTCTGTTGAATCCAATAGAAATTGTCCAGCAGCTATCAACTTTCTCAGGGAGGGCTGAAGGGCATGGACATGCAGCATTCAGGGATAATGTGGAGTTATAGGGTGGGCTACAGCAGCGGCTCCAGTGAGTCAGAGGTGCTGAACAGSAGGAACCCAGAGAAGGTGGTATCGTCATCACCATCTGCAAACAGCCCATTCAAAGCCTCTCCTTGGTGGGCCTGCAGCCACACCTCATCTCCTCCCTGCAGCTCGAGGATGGCGGCTCCTGACGCCTGATCCTCTCCGCTCTGGTAGCTGTCCATCGTGTGCAGCATCTTGATGCCGTTCTTAACGAGAGCTACGCGCACGTTCCTTGAGTAGACAGTGATGTGGTAGGTGAAATAGTAAACACCGGGGTGCTTGCAGGTGAATTTGCCGGTCGCTGAGTTGAAATCATTCAGACTGTTGTACAGCACCTTGTCAAACTTGATAGGGCGGTTYGGAGGGGGAAACTTGGTGGTGCTTGTAAGGCCAACACTGAAAGCACTCCTTGGCAGGATTCCTGGGGCACCTACATTCCCCTTATCTCCTCTGTCTCCTTTCAAGCCTCTTTCCCCCTGAACTCCTGGGTTACCCTGTGGCCCTATACCTCCAGTATTACCTTTAGGACCTGGATTACCAATTGGGCCAATCGGYCCAGGGAAACCAACTCTTCCAGGATGGCCAATTTCACCCTTTGTCCCTTTTGGACCTATGGGTCCAATGTCTCCTTTTAACCCCTTTTGTCCTTGCAGTCCCAGCTCTCCCTTCTGGCCTTTGTAACCCATTGATCCTGTAAATCCTTTTGGTCCAAATTTCCCAGGTGGTCCTCTTTCTCCTTTATCTCCTTTGTTCCCCTTCTCTTCAACAGTCCCGTTAGTCCCAAAAAAAAAAAAAAAAAAAAAAAAAAAAAAAAAAAAAAAAAAAAAAAAAAAGCAAAACAAAACAAAACCAAATAATAATGAAAACAGAACAAAACAACCCCACAACTTTTTTGTGATCTTCCATTGGAAGGCACAAATTAAGATTCAGCATGAGGAAATCTATGTGCAGGTGTATGTCACCACTGTACCTACTGTGCTCACTGTGCACAGTTTCTCATTACATTTAAGTGTAGGATAAGCATAATGTCTGAAGAGTCTGTTGTTAACAAACAGGTGCTCTGGCTGACAGCAGCAAGAATAAGCTCGAAGAAAGGAAGGTTATCTATGGGCTGATGATAACACTGACAGCTCACATCATCTCATGCAAAAGCAGAATCYGTCCAAATACTTGTTTACAGCCTTTTGACAACAGCCTGCACTTGCTTTCCACATGTTTCTATAATTTCCACATGATGAAACTTTTCTTGGGTTACCTAGCTTGCTACTGCAGCACAAATAATGGCTTTTTGTCCTGGTTACTTGCCACCCCATGCTTTATTTCTCCTTCATCCACTCTTGGTCTGAATATCAAAGCCCTCAAAAATCCTTTGGCACAAGGTTTTGAAGGTGAAGATCTCATGATGTGAAAGGCACTTTCACAGTTGATAGACAAAAGACACCAAAAAGAACATATGCTTAATCCATCAGGAAAAGAACCTGATCATTTCTGTGCAAGGGCCTTTGGCTTCTCGTGTTRTGAGAAATGCTGTTTGTACAGTCTGCTGTTCTCAATTTACAATTGAGAGAATTTATCAGCAGCAATGAACTGAAAACAGATGAGGTTTTGTGATGAGTTCACAAAGGCAGCAATTCATAGACAAATAATAAATTGAAACACTTCTTCCCTGACCTCGTTCGCCTTTCTCTCCATTGGTACCATCTTTTCCTGGACTGCCTGGAACTCCTGGTTCACCTAGTACAGAAAGAAAAAAAAAGCCAGATTTTCATTAAACAAATTACCAGAAAATTTGGGATGAGCCCTTCTTTAATCTTTCCTCTTCAAGCCTAGCCAAACAAAAAAAGCATACTCTTATTTCTGACTTTTAGAGGGTGCCACTGCTGGTACTTTTATCTGGTGGAGAGCGAGACAGAGAGCACAGAAACTCTGCTGAGGATGGTGCTTTTTGGGCACAGAAGGAATCCTTGGCATAAAGAGTGAGCTATTGAGATACATAGAGTTGCAATATCCTTGCATTTCACCAGTGTGAAAACTTCTTGTCCTGTTTTTTTCTCCATCCATGGAAATGGAGTGAGGAAGCCACATTCAGCAAGAAGCATTGCAGGGACAGGAAGCCCAGCAGTGAAACAAGGACATGGTTTAGTGGTGGGCCTGGCAGTGCTGGGTTAATGGTTGGACTYRACCACCTTAGAGGYCTTTTCTGACTGTAAGGAYTCTGTGGTTCTATGAATARTAAATTCCTGCCTCAAGAACAGACATACAGGAGTTTGATGCTAATGAAACATTACAGTGGAATAATATTTCCTGTAGGGCTGAGAAAGGCATTCACACTTTTGATCCCTGTACCCGGCATGACATGGACTTTCCATTGCTCTAAAGGAGCAATTWTAGGAGTTGGTAGTACAGATGACCAAGAGGTCATCTGAATAACTGGATTTGCATCCAGAGTGCAGCAACAGAACAAAAAAAGAATTGTGAGTTTGGTTGTAACCATATTCCAAGAGTAGCTCTCCAGTCATATGGACCAGAGGACAGTTCTTTAGCAGTTTTCTGCACAATGGCCACATCCCAGCAACTGCCGATATTTCACTGACTTGGTAAGGAACAAAATTAATTCTCACATATTAAACCACAATGATGTATGTACATAGAATATAAAAAATTGTATAATCGCCTCACTTTGTTCAAAGAATAGTCAGTGCAGTTATCATAACAGACTAATTCAGGAAAAACAGYTGGGGACTTTATCAGAATCCAGTGGTATCCTGTGATAACTCACTGGCATGAAGGAGGGGCATATATAAGATAAATGAAAATAAGAAAGCTTTAGATTTTGTATTTCTCAGACCTTTTGGAGCCTTGCATATAGAAAAAGAGGTCAGTTAAATGGATGTGCCTATTAAGAGGCTAATGGAAATCTTCATTTCTTTCTGTATTTAAAAGATGATGAAGTRTTATATGTACACATGCCTGCAGATTTATCACCTTGTTCAACCCTGGCCTTGATATTCCAGCTTGGATGCAAGGGCCATCATTAACCTAAGGCTTAAAGTATTATGAGGGTTATTAACTTTAGGATGCTGAGATTATCCCTGGCTTTGATATCTCACACAAATCTCTATTGTAGCCTGCTGGAGCAGACCTGAATCCTACATTGTTTTTCAACAGTCTCCATTCCTGAACTTACTCTAGTGACTTTTGAGTTACAGCAAGTAGCACACTCAGAATCAAGTCCTACAAATGCAAAATTCAGATAAGAAAAAGACATCTTCCCACTGCATAGTTCCTGCTACACCAAACTAGGTATCAGTTGTTGCTTTTTGTGTCTACTTGGCTTGAAGCTCTATGCAGAAATACACTTTCTATTGTAGAGGAGTAGAAGTAGGTTTRCAGCCTTCAAAATTTTCAAATAGACTTGAAAATATTCCCATGATAGAAGGAAAAGCCTCTTTTCCTTCTGTTTTATTCCATGAGCCTGACATCTCCATAGTATTTTCTGTCTTGCTTATATTATTAAACCCTTTCTTTATATTTCCTTCTTCAAACAGGTAAATGATAAATGTCTGAAGGTTGGCAGAATAATCCCATTGATCCCGAGAAACTACAGACAAATTTGGGAGTGAATGGCATTGCATTTGATACACTRAATCATTCATTCTGAAGGTAGTACCTGTATCTCCCTTGTTGCCTTTTGACCCGTCACGTCCATCACGACCCGGTATGCCATTGTGCCCAGGATTGCCAGGGATGCCAGGATACCCTTGGGTGCAGACRTCCTGTCTTTGTGTTTCTGCTGTGCTGACTACAATAGCCAGCAGTACAATCCAGCTTTTCATTCTTTAGGTAGCTTTTATTGTTTTGGCTGAAATGTTTAAGAAAGAAAAAATACATCTGCCTAAGTCTGCCATAGAAGGGAGTGCAGGGGGGTAGAGGGAGGAAAATAAGGAAATGGGTTTTCACCATGTTTATTCTTTTGTTTTATTTATAAATCTCTATATRGCATTAATTACAGTCCTAGAGACTACTGAGTGAGATTTTAAATAATTAGTTAATGGATATATCGGTCATAGCATCATTATACATTTAAAACATTAGCTTTACACAATTCTCCATCTGCATTTCTCCCTGCACCTACTTGTGACTGCACATTTTTACCTCTCATCTCCCAGGAGATGGTGCCATGGGAGGTAAGCTCAGGCAATATAATCCCCACATTAATCACAAAGAAATCACCTTTTTATTTCTTTTTATTATTATTATTATTGTTGTTGTTGTTGTTGTTCACTGGGGCTAGTCCCCTACTGAGTTAATAAGTTGAATGACCTTCGAGGAGGGGTCAGAGGGCAAAGGTGTGAGAGATCAAGTAAGAGTGTTGTTTGGCAAAAACAAGTCTTTAGGTGGGTTCTCCCAATTCATGTAACTTCGTGACTAAAAGTTCAGCTTATATTTATTTTTTCAGTAAAGATAGTAATTTCCTCTTATATAATGTCTTTTAATATAGGCCTGTTGAAATAYATGAAGACTTAATTCTGGACATTCTGGACACAGCTGGTTTCATTGAGTGTAAGAGCAATTGTTGGAAAGAGATTAGACTGAGGAATAAAGAGCATATAGCAACAAAACTAATAACTGTTTTACTTGGAATTAATATCCATAAATGTCTAATGCACAGGAGCTACATGGATTAATTACTTAAACAGGTAAAAATGATTGTTAGAATGAGTAAATTTTACACAATTGGATCAGTATTCCTTTTGAAATATTAACTGTTACTGACGAAAAAATAATGTCTTCTCTTCAATCTCTTTAGGACTGTTTCTCACTTCCATGAAACAATGCACACAAGTACCATGCAGAGAGACACCAGCATGTCCTCAATAAGAATAATTACACCCCTGACCTAATTTATAGAGTAAGACTTTAATTTTGGACATATTCCTTAATCCTTCTATTCTGTGTTCAGATAAGTTCCCCATTTTGCAACCATTACTGAAATGATTTATGGTGTCTTTKCCAGTGGCTTTACTTAGAGATGTGTGATCACCCACCAGAAAAATCCCACTTTGCTGCTGCTGGTTGGCACTAAAGAAAGGTGAAAATCAATAAAACATTTGCTACTTCTGAGGTATACAAACATTTTCTGCCTTAGTCAAAGGACTCCAGAAGAGTGCAAAAGGAAGAAGTGCTCTGTATGACACTGTTAGGATATGATGCATCCCACAGAGAAGTCTGACATCCTCAGCTGTCCACTTACAGAAAACCCATTCCCAGCTGTGTAAGGAAGTGTTTCTTGCCTGAAGAATAGACAGTTTGGTCCCCTTACATGCACTGCACTCCCCAAGCTGACATCAATATCATCATTACATATATAGGACCTTCTTACCTCATTCACTTGGTACTTGCAGTGTTCTTTGGCATCTTTCAACTGAGTGTAAAAGCTTCATGTAAAGGAATGCAACACTCAGATATGTGCCTTGAGGACAAGCACTTGTTTGGTCACTAAATTCTCAAAGGTCAGTGATTAAATTTTGAGAGCTGTTCAATAATTAAAACAGAGGTTTAAAGTGGAATCTTTCTATTTATTCCAATACTAAGCTTAAGTGCTCTGTACTTTGTCTTTTACYACTGTTACATGAAAGAAAGTTGTTAAAATGGATTAATAAGGCTTTGATTTCCTTGTTCCTTTGTACAAATATATTTCACAAACGTTAGCCTTTGACAGCTTGGTTGATTTGTGGGATAGAAGGTGTGTCTCATACCATTATTGTGCTGCTAAAATATGTAATGAAGTTTGTTTCTGAATCAGGTAATTTACAATGGATTTACGGACAAAGACTATAAAATTATAACAAAAATGCTGAGAACATGGCATTAGAATTACTAGCTGATTATGGAAAACAGGTAACAAGGTTGAATTAAAGTAAATAAATAGAATTACAAAGAAAGTTTTCATGTGTAATTAGCAGGCTTCCTATCTAGCTATTCAAGCAACAGTCAAAGCTATCGGGCCACTAAATTATATATCGTTGGTAACTAATTTGAAAAAGCCATAATTCTTAACTGTGTCTTGTTGAAACTACTGAAACTGCTGCTATCTAAGGACTAGCGAAAGTGAACTGAGCTTATCATCAACTCCCTAAATGCTGATCGTCAACAGTGAAGGATAAAACCAAAAGTAACAGGAGTTAATGTGTTAGAGGAAATGGCCTTAATTCACCCTTCTTGGTTCAAGTGCCTGCAAACAGTGTCTGAAGGTGTCCCCACATGCGAAGATGTGACGCGTGCGCTCTGCACGTATCAAAAGAAGTTTTCCCTAAGATCTTCACCACCACCCTGTGGTGACACCACAGTATTGAAAGTGGTGTGTTGGMCTGGCCTGAACCTGGGACATGGTGTCCGCCGCTCTTAACTTCTGTAGTCAAATTAACCTTATTGTTGTGCTAATTGAGAAGAAACGAGAGCCASAACGAACAGTCCTTTTCTCTTTACGCATTAAGCACCATCTGAAATTTTCTAAGGCTGCTTATCCTTTGCCTCCTTTCTCACTTATAAATGAGTCATTAAAAATAGCCCACTCTGCCAGTTAAAAATAACATCATTCATTAGTTAGCTCTATCTTGATGGTCTTTTCAGTTAGACTGGTTTAATGCATTTTTAGCAGATAACCGAGTAAAGTGCTGTAGAGATAGCCTTGAAGACAAATGTTTCCTCCAGCTGCTTTTTAGTGCCTTGTCTCATGGCAGAATAATGCCTTGAAAATAATTACACAGGAGCAATAGTTCATCATTTGCTCTTAAAAAGCATTGCATCTGAAAGGCAGGAAATGAAGGGTTTTTTTAGAGTAATTGCTGTGCTAATAACTTTTTTAGAGATGAAWATGACTGCAATGGCCATGAGATGGATGGTCATAGAGATATACCTAACCTTATTAGCAGAGCAGCTTCTGGACTCTTTTTCAGTGAGTCAGCATCTCTAAAGTCTGGGGTGTGCTTATAGGAAGAGGCCATGGTGCACCTGGGGCTGCTCCTTTCATCTTCAGCAGTTTCAGCTTTCCAAAAATCCTTGGGAGAAACAGTTGATAAATTCTACATCATCTTGTGTTTCTCTTTGGAGAGAAGCTCAGCCCTTGAAGAGCAGTGGTACTCCTTCCTCTGCTGACCTCTGCCCTCTCAGATCCGCCCTTCTGAACTTCACTGATGTGACTCCAGTGATGTGGATGGACATCTCTGAACTTCTGCTTGTCTGCAGAGTGGTTTGGCTGTCATTGCAGGTGTCCCACTCTGAGCATTTAAAAGATTAAAATTACTCAAATAAAATGTTGTCCAGGTGTCATTCAATCACACACACACACACACACACGCACACCACCCCAAAGATGCACAACAGAAATGTAGGATGTAATGTAAACAGAAGGAAGGGGTGATGGATGTGGGTCACTTGTCTGGTGCAACCTCCTGTAGGTGCCAGCAGCGACATTTGGGGATGCCACATGGAGTCTATACAGGAGGTTTGGATGTAAACACATGTGTACAAAYACACATACACATCTGCTTTTTAAAAACAGAGCCTAAATACCTAATAGTGGCAGTAGGCAAGTTCTCAGCCATTGGCACTGGACAGCAAGTTCTGATTGCAGTGAACTAAACAGACTTAAAATTAAGAAAAAACATGKTGTGATGACAGCTTATGCAGTTTTGTCATATTCTCACAATTACATATCCTCTAGATAATTAGAGTAACTAGATTTTGTAAAGCATTTAGAAATACATTTATTTGTGTAAGGAGAATTTGTGTACTTTCCCTACAAGYGATGTGGTGTGCTGTTTTCCATTGCTGAGTTTTTCATTTCTCCTTTGATTCTGGGACATGAAAAGGCCCAAGTCCTTGTCTCAGTTGCCAAGCACAGATCATTATGCAGCCTTTGGAAAAAAACCTAAATAAAACAACAAAAAATCTAWGACAGGCAGTGTTATTTCTGTGCAAACTAAAAGCTCCATCTGATAGATCAGYTCTCAAAGAATTTAAAAGCTGATAGTACAGAACAATGTACAGGATTTAGCCTGACTACCCAAGCAGAAAATGAAATGCACAGATGAGCTCACCCTGGTCAGATGAACCACGGGGTCCTTAGAAAGCCTATTGATCGCAACATCCTGCTCCAGGGTTTGCCCGGGATATGTTTTTCTGTCATCCAATCTATCTCACTAAGTGCTCAAACTGTGCCTTTCACTTTAACGTTGGAGCACTCAGCACACATCMCACCACAGCAGCAGTCGCCTTGGGAGGCCTGAGAAGCTCTCATCTTTGAGGTGARCCAAGAAATAGAAGAGCCTGGACACAGGAAAGAGGGGTAAAGAATTAGCAAACCAACTATTGTGCCAGCATCTGAACTCACCAAAACATTTCTGATTAAAGGTTTCAGCAGAGTATGTTATTTTTTTAAAGCTGATGTGTCTCAGCAAAATGTAATTTTTGACACAGCCTGGAGTGGTAAGGACACAGGCACACCTTTCAGATGTGGTCCTCTGCCCTGCTAGAATAATGAGATATAAAAAAATTCACTGAATCAGAGAAGTTGAATCCCCAGCTGTGTTGCCCATTGCTCTGTCAAGCAGGCAGGTAAGCACGTTCACACATATTTACAGAGCATGCCTTTTGGGTGAACCCCTTTAAATGGTTTTGCTTTTGTTCCAAAGACAATAAAATTTAATCCTCCTTACCTGCACTGCAATACTTAAATCACCATCCTCTGTTAGCAGGAGCTTTATTAACACAGAAATGCAATTGCCTGTGTTCTAAGGGGGTACTGTGTGAACCCTCTACCGGGACAGGGTAAAGCACAGTAAT